AGGCGCAAGGAAACCATGGTTCCTCAAAATTTGCATAATACAACTCTCACACTGAAGATCTTTTACAAAATGAACACCTACCTAAAAGAAGACCAGAGTAACATTGCGGAGCAGATATGTGATGTTATAGGCATTCACCTCACCTCATCATATTAATCGTGTGGATTCTATTCAGGTCAAATTTGTACCTCAGGGAAATTACAAGTGATTACACGTTGGGGAACTTTCCTCCTTCCTTCCGTCTGCACTTTCTTTCAGTAGATATTTATTAAGTGCCTATCACCCATTAGGCAGTGAGGATATTAAAAAGCAAGCATACAATTCCTGCCCTCATGAAGTTTACAAGTGGACAATTATCGATAAAATAATTCCACAAATAAATGAAAAACTGCTACCCTGAGGCGTGCTGGGAAAAACTTTCTAATAGGAGGATTTGGTGTCATCAAGGAGAGGGAAGGCTTCCATAAAGAAGTGAAATTGACGCTGAAAGCGTCAGCAGTTACCTAAACAAGAGGACAGACCAGATTCCAGGTACAGAGAAAGCCATGCGCAGAGAAGCCTCCCAGCGGGGAATGTGTGCGGATGAGGGACCGAGCAGGATATGGAAAGGTGCCAGATCAAACAGCTCTGGGAGGCCTTGTTTAAGGAGCTCCTTTTCCTGTTTCCCAAGAGCAATTAAGAGCCATTCAAAGTACATGACGGAGGAGTTAAATGATCACTTGAAATCTCTCTTTTTTAATCAGTATCAACGAAAAAAAATGAAACCTTCAATGATGAATTCTGAAATGGCCAGGGAGATTGGAGGAGCCCAGAAGCAGCCAAAGAAGGGGAGACTGGTCCAGAAGTGAAGTCATACATACCTGAGGAAGGGTGTTGCAGAGGGAAGATGGCTGGGAGGCATATGGTTAGAGTAACGTTCCATATTGCCAATGACTTGTTCAACCCTGCTTAATTTAACTTAATTAAAAATTGACGTGATAGTAAAGCCTGGTTCAGGTAAGAATCATCAATAGCTGCTAAACTTACAGCTATTGGATGAGGAATTGGACATCGTCTGAAAGTGTCTCCCCAAAGATTGCTTAGTAGTCGCTAATGAGTAAATACACAGCAACAGTGGAACACCTGCACCAGGTGATCACACAACGAGCACCAGGAAGGGGAGATGGACAATATGTGCCTCTAGAGGTGATAACCTGAGGCATCATCACTTATGTCACATAGAGGCTGGACATGCCTAATCTGAATATAGCCATTCAGAAACTGTACTACTGGGGAGGGCTGCATTACTGAAAACTTTCACTCTCATAAATACAAAGAAAGGCTAGGAGCTCTTAAAGGAGACTAACGAGACAGGATGTATTAGTTTCCATAAACTTAACGTGCTTGAAAAAATTTATTAGTTTGTAGTCCCTGAGGTCAGGAGTCCAAATAGGTTTTAGTAGGTGCAAATCAAGGTCTTCAATGGGGCTGTTTCTTTTAAAAGCTCTACAGGAGAACCCCTTTCCAGCTTTAGAGGATGTCTGCATTCCTTGGCTTGTGGCCCCTTCCTCCATCTTCAAAGCCAGCCATGTAATATCTTCAAATCACTCTCTCTGGCTCTGACACTCCTGCCTCCTGCTTATAATGATGCAAGTCAATAGATTGGGCCCACCTGGGTAATCCAGAATACTCTCCCATCTCAAAATCCTTAACTTAGTTATATCTGCCAATTCCTTTTGCCTTGTCAGGTAATACTAGATTCACAGCAGGAGACATGCGTGGGGAGCCATTATTCTGCCTATCACACTTGATACAAAAATGTAAATTATAATCCTAGATCGCTTCTTGTATTGGAGAAAAAGAAATGCCCCCCAAAAATGTTGTTAGAATTGAAATACAGCCAGTGGATTGAAGTATTCTACTTATTCCTAAACTTATTGAAGTTGACAGCTTACAATGTTGTTATTTAAGAGAAAACCATTTACTTAGGAAATATACACTGAAGTATGTAGGGGTAAACAGACATTATGTATACAATTTACTCAACAGGTTTAGAAAAATAACAAAACACACATGTGTGCAAAGAAAGCAAGCATTTAGGAAATCAAATAAGGCAAAATATTAAAAGTAGGTGAATCTGGATTAAAGAGTATATTGGTGTTCTTTGAGTAATAGTCTTATAAACTTTTCTGTAAATTTGAAGTTATTCCCAAATAAAAAGTTAAAAGAAAACTGATGAATACATAATTTACTTTTATTAAAAACAGATAAAGAATTTTTTACTCAAATACCACAAGCAACTCATAGTGTATATCACTTTACAAACGTGAAAATGAACGAAGACATGTGGCACTGATTCAGTGACTTAATATTTGTTCTTTCTATAGTAACATTACTAGTAAATGGAAAGGCTTGGAAATGTTTAAGACTTTTAAGGTTAAGAACTTAAAGGAAATCTTAAGCCTGGCAATATTACAGCTTCAGGAAGCTTAAAATAGAATTGGTAATTATCCTTAGATTTAAATATCAACCTGTTGATCACACCCTGCTATTTGTGAGAGAGAACCTACTAGGTAATTTCCTAGGAAGGCCCTTAGAAAAGCAAGCTCTCCTTTTCAGGTGTATTTATCTGATTTTTAAAACAAAAGCTAATAATAATAATAATAATAATAATAATAATAATAATGTGTATTCTATGCTAGAGCTTTCTTCTGCCCAGTGCCGCAGGCAGAATTTTATTGCTTTGGCCCCAGAGAAGTTGTTGGTGCCCATTTTGATTCCCACTCCACCCTTTATTGTTTAAACACAAAAGATAAGGCAGCTGGGACTCTGACCACTGATGAATAATCAGGGGCCTGTCCACTGGGAAACTCCTCTGATCTTGGCAGCAACTACGGTTTTAAAAGGAAGGTAAAAGAAAGCTGAAGACAGGTTTCTGCGCACAGTCCTATGTGTGGGCTTGTTTTCCTTGCCAACTGTGGTAGCCAAAAACAGAGTTACTCCCCAGCGATGCCAGGATGGAGTGCCAAGATCAAATAATAGTGGACTTTTCTCAATTACAGAAACAGAAAGAAAACATGTGGCAAAGAGCTGGCTTTATTTTTACAAGTTTGGCTCTTGCTGTCACCAGCCAGCACCAAAATGTGTGATTTAGTGTAATCTATGATTATACCGTACGCAATAATCTATTCCGTTATTTTTGGTGTAACCTTGTTTTTCAAAGAGCCGCATGTCTTTGAGGGAGTTCAGCAATCAGAGGCCCAAAGTGCTTCTCTAGCCCAGAGCAGGTGCGTCCTTCCCACTCAGATGCTTCACTTAGAACACTTTCCCTCACCAGTGTAATTATGGAGATAACCACATTCTGTAACCCAGGGGTGAGTCGCATGACCCCAGGTTTCTTGTTAAGATGGGTCACTCTCTAGTTGTGCAAGCCTGGGCAAAATACTTCTGGGTTGCAAACCACAGTGTGTCGTTTGTAAAAGAGGAGTCACCTTAGCTATCCTGCTGCCCTCACAGGTTTTTCTGTAATCATCCAAGGAGACAAATATGTGAATTCATTTTGAAAAAGGCCAGATAATTTCTCTTCAGTTTTTCAACATAAGACTAAATCGACATGTGTTTGTTTCTTAAAGTGTCTGATGAAGTGCTGTTTCCATAGTTTTTCCTAAACAAATACTTGCTGCCTGAGTGACTGAATGATAGCATTAATTAACTTTCAGGATGCTGTGGTTTTACATTCCTATCTCTAGAGAACTCCCCCTAATTCAATAGGCCAGACTTTGACCTAGACTCAAGAATAACTGGTTCAGCATGAAGGCACATGTTCAAAAGAGTTCTAAGGAACATTAGACAGTTCATGCTAAAAGGTTTACTAAGAAAAAGAAAAGTACCTTTGACCTTCTCTTGTAATGATAACCTTATAGTCTTTGAAACACATTTTAAGTACAAGCACTTAGTGATGTACTTAACGCACTTAAACTTGTAATGATTTTGATTGACTCAAAGCCTTGGACAATTTGCACCAGGTGGATGTATAGTATTTGGTAATTTAAGGAAAGATGTCTACTTGCAGAGTAGAGTACCCCAAATGGTTTCAAATGAACTCAACACAATATGTTAGTTAGAATGAATCAACGTGGAGCAGCACATTATATCTCAAAGGCATGTTGCAATAGTAAGCAACCTGCAAAGTGGTGTATGCAGTATAATGACATTAACATAAATATGAAAACATGCAAAAAACAATATATTATGTATAGATGCAGAGTTTGCAGTAGTAAAACTATACAAGCACAAGGGCTTCTGTGTGCTGTTGTGCTCGACACAACACCAGGGGAGGCTAACCTCATGCCAAGTCCTAAAAACATGCCTTGGAATAAACGATTCCAGTTCAGAATACTTGTTCATAAGAGACAAACTGTCCCTAAGCGACAAAGTGGGACCTAATGGAGATAGGAAAAGGGAATACAGGGGACTTAGTTATATGTATAATGCTTCAATATCAAAAAATATTTGAAGCAAATATTGCACAGTGTAAGGTTTGACAAGCTATGTGATGGATACATGGGTATTACATTTCCTATGCTTGAAATATTTATTCATATATGAATTCTTCAACTATTTCTTCCCAATGAAAAATAATTAACATTTCTTGGTTGCAATAACAAAGGAGTGTTTATAATCATAACCTCATATTTTTATTATGAGGTTCTAAGAATCTATTGTAAGATTCTAATAAATTCTGAGATAAAAATATTTTGTGTTCTCAAATTAAATAGAAAAGAGATTTACATAGGACCTTTTCAAGTATAGAAAAAATTTACATAATTTTACACTGAAGCCTTTTTGGGGAGAGGCTAAAAGAAAAAGAGAAATTTGTGGCTTGTTCCAAATTTGGGAGTAGAGGTTTAGGAAACAACTTGCAAACTTCTAAATGTCAGATAATTTTCTATCTCAATAAGGTGATCCCATCTCTTTTATCAGCTACCAAAATGAAACTCTGAAACGTAAAGTTTACATACCAAAACGTCCATTCCGGGGACATACTTGAGGCCTATCTTATAGTCTTTTGGAAGATTTGCCACCTACAGAGACAAAGAAAAAAAAAAGAAAAGAAAGAAAGAAAATACTGTAAGAAAATCCATACATAACAATTAATATGCTATTTTTAGTAGTATGGAAAACATACAAACCTGTTATGTTTTTAAGTTACACAGAATTTCAACATTTACACATAAAATGACTTTCATTCTTGATATCCCTTTGTAATGAAAGGCAATCTCCAAAAAAATAAAGTCACAATACAAATCCTTTGGACTACAAATTCACTTATGAAAACATGATCTAAATTGCAATTTTTATCTGTGGTCTTGGAAATTCCCTTCCAGGATTATTCTCATACAATTCCTTCATATAATCAGGAATACAATATATTTTCCTTATCAGTCATTCACAAAGTAATATGTCAACATCACTAGGGCACCTGTTAGGAATGCAAGTTCCCGGTCACACCAGACCTGCCGACTCTCACTCCACAAGTCCCCAGGCCATTCTGATGAGTGCTCAAGTCTGAGAACTACTGCTCTATGTTGTTCTTAGGAAAAACATCAGCAAAACTTCAAAAGAATGCTAATTATGGGATGGAGATGCTTTATAACTTAAATAATTTAGAAAAGTCCAATTCATCCACTTTTCTAGGGCTGAACATCTGAGATGCCTCAAATATTTCCCTAATTTCTTTTAAAGGCTTTAAAAATAGATCTAACGCATTTCCATCAGTCATTGTGGCATAAATTGAACAAGCACCTGATTTGGAACCAGGGAATTTGAAACAAATCTAAATTCTGTACTTTGGTGTCTCTCACCTGCAAAATGGAGATAAAGATACCCAGGCCAAGTAGTCATGAACTGAGGTAAGGGAATGTGCCAAACACATCATAAACACTCAATCTATTTTGAAAGCTATACTGGCAACTGACTTCCAAGCACACAGAGTTCTGGGTTCTCTCATATCCTTTCTTACATATAGCACCAGCTCTGCCTTCCCACCCTTCTAGCTTTGTTAAAATTTCCATCTGAATAATACAGCCAACAATTGATTTAGCCCACTGGCTCTTAAAACAATATATAATGTGGAAATGTGGTTTTGCACTGTTACATCTTCAATGAATCTACCCTGCTTTTGCAGACTTATCTTCTCTCATCCTGGCTCTAAAATCTTTACTGTTCCCCAAAGTAAGCTGGGACCTTGTACATATTTGCTGGACTATGTCATCTCTGACAGGTGATGACCTAGTCAGGGTGTCCTATAACGCAACCCATGTTTCTTCTTGGCCCTGCCAATAGCTTCTAGAATCTGAGAACAATTTGGCGAGAAAATAATCCAGGCAAAGGCATAAGTACAGGGGGCCCTGGAACAATGCAAGGGTTAGGAACATCGACCCCCATGAAGTTGAAGATCCATGTTTAACTACTGGTCAGCCCTCCAAATACATAGATTCCCAACTGCAGATAGAAAATACGTAGTTGAGGGGGAGCCACTGTGCTCACTATAATTCTACCTTCAGTGGTACCTCTCACTCTCCCATCTCAGCCTCCAGCCTAACATTTACCACATATTTACTGTGTGTCAGGCACTGTGCTCATTAAGGACTTACATTGCATGATTGTATCCAACCCCCAGATCCCTGTGACATATTATCTGTATTTCACAAATGAACAACTTGAGGGGTGAAGGAACCTGACTAAGGTCACACTATTTAGTGTTAAGTCTGCACTGGAACTCAGCTCTGACAGCAAAGCCTCCCTTGCCTCTTGGCTCCACTGCACATTTTCATCTACTTTCTGCCCATTTGTCCTGGGCATTTTCCACTCATAAGGCCACCATCATCTCTCCTCATGCCATCCCCACCAAATTAATAAAATAATGGACCCTCTGCTGCTTATTGAAAACACTTGAGGCCCAGTGCACAAAATTCGTGCACTTGGGGGGTTCCCTCAGCCTGGCCTGCACCCTCTTGCAGTCTGGGAGCCCTCAGGGGATGTCCAACTGATGGCTTAGGTTCACTCCCTGCGGGAAGTGGGCCTAAGCTGGCAGTCAGACATCCTTGGCACTGCTGTGGAGGTGGGAGAGGCTCCTGCCACTGCCGCTGTGCGTGCCAGCAGTGAGCTCAGCTCAGGGCTTCTGGGTGAGTGGCACTCTGCCTGTGGAGAGCACTAACCACCAGGGGGCAGCTCCTGTGTTGAGCATCTGCCTCCTGGTGGTCAGTGCACTTCATAGCGACCAGTCGTTCTGCCATTTGGTTGATTTGCATATTAGCCTTTTATTATATAGGATGCCTGGGCTGCCAGAGAGGCAGTATTTTTAATTGCTAATTTAGGAGTTACACTCTTGCCTTTTACACTTAATTTTCTTCCTCTCCCACCATGCTTCCGTAACTTCTTTGGTCTTTTGGATCTTCATCTCCATCTTTGGAAAGCAAAGTGACTTAGTTATGTTCTGCCAGCCCTGACACTGCTGATGCCTTTGCAGGTATAAACACTGGAATCAGACTGAGCAGCAACATTTTTTCATTATGAACCAACCATGTACATTAAAGCCATTCTAGATGGAGAGACATGGCAAGCAGTGGCAGCTGCTCTGAACACAAGTTACTTGACAATCTGGCCCTTCTTTTATATGTAACTTGCATAGCCAACAATATAGAACTGGTCAAGTTAGCATTCAGAAAACTCAGGATCTGAGTACATACACCTAAAGAGCAGAGAAAATGGAAGGGATATGCTGGCCAATCCCATATTATTAGTAATTTCTCTGTAAGAAAATTGGTTTAAAAAAGTCAAAGAAACCTCACAAAAAGTTATCTGGCCAACACACTAAACTCCCCACACCTTACCACTTGAAGGATGGATAATAATAAAGAAAATTCTCCATTAAATTGATTTAATAGTATTTAATTTCTGATGGGGCTTAAAAGTAATGATACTTTTGAAAAATGCTATACAATTAATAAAAAGTTTTTATACACAGTCTCTACCACAGCCCCATGAGGTGTCTATCATTAAACCTCGTTTACAGATGAAGGCCTGGAGGCTCAGGGAGGTTAACTGGCACCTGGAGGTCACAGGCACCAGGAGTTCCTGGTGGGGATGGGATCAAATCCAGGCTCTGTGTGCTGCTCTCAGCACAGTTCTCTCTCCCCTTCATGACTTTATTGGTGTGCACCGATTCCTTCCCAATTATATTTGGAAGAGAATTTAGGAAGTCAAGTTAATAGATTTTTATGATCAGTTCATGAATTATTATATTACTTTCTAAGTATTAAGGTATGTTGAACAGCATTCAGAAAGCACAGAGAACCCTGCGATAAATTCAGCTTCTCTGAGCAGAGGGAGCCTATGGCCTGGAACTAGAAGATGTTCCTTTGAAGCACACACGAAAATGCACAGTGTTGGGGACACACGGCCCAGGTTGGATCCAGGCCCTGCCACATGCTAACTCTTCAGCAAGTAATCTACTTTAGTTTCAATTTCCACATGTGTAAAATGGAAATCATAATAGAATCTTACTAGTGGACTTATAAAGACTAATTTAGAATTAAAGACCACATTTTAAATACTTAGTGCTCCAGCATGGCATGTGAATGAGTACGTCACAAGGGAATGGGGCATTAGACTAGACAGAGGAAGGGTCACAGGCAAAGACAAAGAGACGGGAAAGCGCATCGTAGTGTCTTTGGGAGACCAGAGACAGAAAAATCAGGCTTCTGCAGATGAGAGGGCAGGAAATACTCCGGAAAGCCACCTTAGAGAGCCCCTGAATGTTGTGCTAAGGAGGCCCAAAGGGAGGCCGTGAAGTTTCAGTGGGACCAGGTTTACCACCAGAGCCCACAGCAAGTCACTTCTGCCTGAGGGACATCACTTCCTCTCTGGGGAACTTCTACTTCTCGTCTGTAAAATGAAGAGGGTGAACTAGATAATTACTAAAAATCAGTCTGATTTCACTCTCATGTAAGCAGGAGTGTTGCACTGAATGTTTAGTTTAAGAGGGAACAGGACAGTAAACTTAGGAAGATTAGTCTGGAAGGATGGATTGGAGCAAGGAGAGAACAGAGGTGGGAAACAGTTTAGAAGACCACTGGGCCAGTGCTGAGCATGTGCTCAATATTTATATAGGGACTGGAAGCTGAAAAAGCAGAAATGTGGTTTAGATTCCAGGGAAGTATCCTGTTGGTATGTTAAGTGGATAAGTAACCAAGGCTACAGATTTTGAAAATAAATATTTTGTAGTAAAATAAGCTCAGGGCAAAATTAAATAAAGTCGAACCTAATTGATGGAAAATTTTACCAAAGGCCAGATTATCCCAATGATCTTTGTAGTTTGGTCTCCAAAGATGTCAATACTATACCAGATTGTAAAATGCATAAAACTGCAAAAAACAAGTCACTTGATGATGGGCTGGCTTTACTAGGTGGGCTCATTTACTATCTTTTTTGAAATGTCTTAAGAATTGATCATACTCAATGACACTGAAGGAGGGTGGAGTATAAGGGAACAGCATGCAAAATTGCTGGATACTGAGCCAAAAAAAAAAAAAATCATTGCAAGCCAGATAGGCACTGGCTGCATACCATGCCCTGCAGGTATCTGGACTCAGTAGAAATATTTAACTCAGAATATTTAACTCCCTCTCTAGGTCATGGATCTGAAAACCTTAGGATCTTCAAATGTCACTGAGGTCCCCAAATGTTCTCAAATCAGTGTTTGCTGAGACATCTTTGTCAAGATACTTATTTATCTCAGTTTTTTTTATCCCAAGTTCTAGGTAAGAATCAAAATGCAGCAGCAGTAACTCCTGATCCCCTTGACAATGTACATAAAATGTGGTGCAGATGTGGCCCTTTTATGGGTAAGGGTCCACAATTTTCAGAGTCTCATCAGATCCAAATCACTACTGTAGAGGGAAAACAAGCAAACTGTGCTCTTGTATTTAAATGTCATAGTTCACTCATGCACAACAGCTTAGTGTAATGTTGGCTGTTGAGTCTTCAGAAATAACATAGGAGAAAGCTTTTTGATTTTTAA